GATTTTCAAATTGTCTAGGGATCAGTCAGATAACCTAGTATGCATAGAACTGTCCGAGTTAAACTTTGTAATGGCTCACCTTCTTCTGAGGCAGTTTTGATGTTGCTCTTGGCACCAGTGATGATAGTTCGACGTTTCCGCTCAAACCTTAGTCCGTCCGGCAAAGCTGCTCAGACTATCCTGGTTAAGACAGCCCGCCACGCATTCGATAGTTGCACGCCGTCTATTATGTTTACGCAGTTAATAGTCTTAGAGATTTCCAGCCTATTGGCAATTAATTTTTGGTTTGCTGTTCTTAATCCTCTCTTATAATGAATTCCACATTATCCTAGTCGATCGCCCATCCCGTCTCTAGAGTAGGTGTTGCTACCACTGAGTCTTTTAGTAAGGCCCTGTATTCAGGCACATAATTTGTTAGTTGCGGAAGTTCGTTTTGTGTTATGCTATCCTCGTGCGTAGTTTTCTCGCTGTTTGGCCGGTATACACTTATGCACATTCCCTACAACTAATTACGTAGACGCAATTGGTCACGATGTCTTTTGAAGTGGATCATCCAAACGCACCAGATCTGAACAGATTGTTGTACCTTTCCGCAAAACTACACATTTAACTAACTTTCGCGAATGTTCACTATTGTTTAAGTTGTCCATTGCCACGTTCCATGCAACCCTCCTGTCCTCTTCCACGGTTCTCAGAGTCTAAGCCTTGTATAATATATAGGATGTAATCAAAATATAGCCATGATTAAAATGACTTAACCTATAATGTAATACTGCAACTGTATATGTTGCTTTTCGATACATCGTTGTTGTTCTTCGTCCTGCTCCCCTCTGAACTAAACCATCAAATAATTGCAGTGTACCCATACAATATTCGAGTTCATTCGTTAGGTTTATATTCTTGCTAATGGTTTAGCTAATTTATAAGCCCCTCTTGCATATCCCGTCTAATAATAACAATACTATCGTATACGTAGCGCCATCAAATCTTTGATGAGCTTCTGAATTTAGTCAAGGCCCGCTTTTCAAACTCTTCTATATGTAGATATTCCAATAATGGGGATATTGGAGATCCAATGCAATCACTTTCCTAAGCGTACAGCCTTGACTGGGACGTAACTTATGACATACCAAGGCAATTTTACTTACTTCTATCATTTTTCCTACTGTGATTTCCTTTCTTTCCCAAAAGCTGTTGTCATCATTCTGGCAGCTCTGTGCTACCTCCGACGCTTCACAATTTGGCACGTTTTTAAGCAGTAAACTAAAGTGGTAGCTATAATATAGTACTTCTGAGTTAATTGTCAATCTTGCAACCTTTCGCGCGAAATCATAAGAATAATGTATGAACGTATCCGTTATCTCTGTTAGGGACAGCAGCAAACCTGCCCACTATCTGGTTAGTTTGTGGGTCAGAGAAACGCTGAAAATATTAATCAAATTTTGCAGAAGTGCAAATGAATCCGAAGCAATGGAAGAAAGCATTTCCCCGCTAATGTCAACAAGGTTGATAAAATATCATCAAGCGTTCAATAGCTGCTATCGTTGCGGCATACGACACAGCCATGCCACAATGTGTAAACTTACTAAGAAAACTTGTTTTTGTATTTTAGTAACAAAGGACATATACACAGGCATTTAAGCCCTATTTACCGGTCCATTGCAATTCCACGTTCCCCAGTGGCAAAGAACAAGTTTGTTGCTCTTGAACCACAGGAATACATACTTCACAATAAAACACAATGAACATTCTACATACAGCTTCGTGTTAACCAAATGCCAGTGCAATTGAAATTGATGCGTACAGTGAAACAACGTTGCGCAACCCACGAAGGGAGTCATAGAAATTGGCTACGATGCATCAAAAAGCTTTATCAGCATTGAGGCGTTGAGGTAAGAATGCAGAGGCTGTAGGAGGTTGTGGTATAGTAAACAGGGTAGGCATGAAGAATGTCGTGGCTTTTGACGTCACCCGTCTAACTGCTTCCACAAACTTCCAAGGTAGCGGGCCACGAATTTTGAAAGTTACCTTGGCTGCGCCTGAAATGGTATCAGTGGCAATCCAAGCATGGCATGAGAAAAGGACACTTTGGCCACCAGAAGTACGGTTAAGACCATTTCTTCAATTAGCACAGACCTCAGATACAGATGAGCCAGCCTCAATTGTACCCATCTCAAACCAGCCAACTGTGCCAATAACCGTTTCAAAAAACTTCAGCAGACCGGCACTATTTGTGCCGGTCACTCACAGCGAACCGAGCTCCTGATGCGTCAACAAATAAAATGCTGCTACACCAACACTCAGGGGTTGTACTCTAAGCTCTCGGAGCTGCACCACCGACATGAAACGACAACTTGGGACCTCATAGCAGTCACTGAAACTTGGCTCTCAAACGACATACTTGATCCGGAGATTGAACTCAGTGAGATGTCAGTCATCCGAAATGATCGTCCATCTCGCGGTGGCGGTGTTGCTCTCTACTATCGAGATTATCTGAAATGTGAGGCACTTACCGAAAATTCCCTCGTTATTCCCGACGCACTATTTTGCCGACTGCACCTAGCAGGTCGAGATGTTGTTTCACAGAAGAAGAGTGATGCTTGCCTCTTAGCAGTTATTTATAGACCTCCGAACTCATCAGCAGACAGCGATAACATTCTGTTAAACGCCCTCCGCTATGCTGTTTCACAAAAGTACTCTCACTATCTTATAATGGGTGACTTTAATGTTCCTTCAATAGCATCAGTGTCCCCTTATGGGCCATCATTTAAATCGAAACCCCTCGAATTTATGGATATGGCAGTTTTGTATAACCATGTGCATCGACCAACCAGACATCGCGGTTCAAACAAGCCATCACTCCTGGACTTAATCCTGACTAATGAAGAGTTGATGGTTGAGTCAGTAGCATACGATCCTCCACTGGGCCGTAGCGACCATTCAGTCCTAACATTTGGTTACGAATGTTATGCCAGTATTGTTGCTACAGAAAGTGAGACTCAACGAACTATTACGGACTATTATAAGCTGCGCAGCTTAGCAGCAACCGTTGACTGGGACCTACAGACGCACAGCTCAACGAATGACGCGTGGAATGAATTGAAAGACAAAATTAACTGGGTCAAACAATCAGCATCGAAGGTTGTACCATTACGAGCATCGCGCCGGACCAATACGTGGATCCGGAGCAGAACACGTAAATGGATCAACAGAAGAGATGAAATCTGGAGGCAACATTTGCTAAGCCCATGTGATATCACATGGCAGGATTACAAAGTCATAAGAAACTACTGCACGTCACTCATTAGAGTCGACTATTACGAATGGCAGGAGAAGGTGGCGCCAAAATTTACGAGTAACACCAAACTGCTATACAGATTTGTGAATGGCAAAAGAAAGGTTAAGCCCGGAATACCACCACTCAGGACAGCCAATGGCCTAACAACTACTGTTGTGGATGCCGCGAATGCTCTACTCTTGCAGTTTGGCTCGGTAGCTACAAATGTCATGGGACCTTCGCCCTATCAACTCCCAACAAATGTCGTTGGCTTATCCAGCGTCACGTTTACTCCAGCAGCTGTTGCAAGCAAACTACAGTCTCTCCGGGAGTACAATGCCCCTGGAATCGACATGATCTGCCCAAAAGTACTAAAAGCCCTTGCCCCACCATAGCAACACCACTTGCAACCTTTTTTCAGTGTCTGCTTAACTCCCATACACTCCCATCTGAGTGGAAAAATGGAATTATCAATCCGATATATAAAGGTGGTAAGCGTTCGGATCCTGCTAACTACCGACCTATTACTCTCCTTCCTGTTTTGTCAAAAGTTATGGAATCGGTAATCGCAGATGAACTGACGCGATACTTTGAAAGTCAACTGATAATTTCTAATGCCCAACATGGGTTCCGACGCAGACGATCTTGTCTCACCAATTTGCTGATTACTCGGGACTTATGGACCAGGGCGGCTGATGAAGGAGTCCCCATAGATGTGATATACCTGGATTTTTCTAAAGCATTCGACAGGGTCAATCACTTCTTTCTCCTCCAAAAGCTTGCTGCCTACGGTATCAACGGTTCCCTGCTCACTTGGTTGGAAGACTACTTACACGACAGAGCAATCAAGGTAAGAGTAGCTGACACCTATTCCGAAAGCTTTTACGTTTCCAGTGGTGTTCCACAAGGATCCGTCCTCGGCCCGCTACTATTTTTAGTCTACATTAATGACCTTCCAGCAGACATTCTATCTCCAATGCAAATATTTGCAGGCGACGTTAAAATATGGAGAGCTATTCGCTCAGCATCCGACCATGTCTACCTCCAGGAAGATCTGACCCGGATTAACGAATGGGCAGAAAAGAACCAGCTCCCACTGAACGCTGCAAAGTGCCACCTGCTGACGGTGCACAACAGCTTTGTTAACACATACCTTTTGGGGCAACATGTCATGCAACACGTGACTAGTGAACGCGACCTAGGTATAATCGTGCAAGAGAGTCTTGGAAATTCGCTCCAGTTTTCGAAAGCAGCAAGTGTAGCGAACTTGAACTTGAGACTTTTGAGGCGAGCTCTCGGCACTTTTGAGCGACAGCTAGTACCATTGTTGATTAACTCCTACATTCGTCCTCATGTTGATTATGCAATTCAGGCCTGGCGTCCATGGTTAAAACGAGACATCCGCCTCTTGGAACAGCCCCAAAGAAGAGCCACAAAAGCAACGCGTGGACTATCCGGTATAAGTTACGAAATGCGTCTTCGTGTACTCGGGGTGTTCTCATTAGAATACCGACGGCTTCGCGGTGATCTTACTCTCACATACCGGATACTAACCGAAAGCGAGCATCCATGTACATCGCTGTTGACTCTAGCCCCATACAAACAAAACCGAGGCAACCACCTGAAACTAATGACGCAACGCTCTCGTTTGAATTAAAATTTTTCTCACTTAGAATCTGTTCTCACTGGAATGCATTACCAAACTATGTGGTGAACGCACCAGATGTACCAACGTCACTAAGCCTAAACTAAGTACGTCGTACGAAAACTAAACTAAAACTACGAACAGATAAACCTAGACTTAACGCACGGTCTGGGCAGAAGAAGAAAACGTATTATCCTGTAACCGTGGTTCTATAAGGCATGATAAATACAGTACATGACTTACGAATAGGTTTCGCAATCGTAATGCAAGTGGGCGGAAACTGTCCAGCGTGGGGCGGATCGAGTATTTGGGCAGTGTCACAGTAACATAAAAATAAAATGACCTTGAAACCTCAAGGATGTGTCAGTGATGGAGTGTAAGAAATAAATATGCGATATGTGAACCGCTTGTAAAACACAGAAAAGCAGTGTAAATTTGCAAGATAATCAGGGAAAAGAGATACCGTGTCCTCAGGTAAGCAATCAAGTTTGGGGATACATCAAAGTTCCTTTTGGACTTTACACTCCCCCGGCGGTTTCCTATCCCGGACGATGGCTTCCACGGCATCATTCTCTTCTTCCTGGTATGCTTCTAGTAGGCACAGCTGTCTGACGTCTCTTCGCAATATGCCTTTGCTAGTCCTCACCAGTGCTTGTCGAACCAGTTGGTCTTTGCTCTTGATAACTTGCTCCACAACACCCTTAGGCCACAGACCTCTTGATGTGCGTAAATCACAAACTAACACTAAATCGCCCTGTCTAAGATCTCTAATTTCATTTAACCACTTCTGTCTATTCTGCAGTGTCGGTAGGTATACTCTAATCCACCTACGCCAAAACATATCAGACAGATGTCTTACCTGTCTCCACCTTCTGCTCATTTTGATTGGTAAATTGATCGGTGGGTATTCAAGCGACTGGTCATTTGAAAGCGTTAGTAGTTGCCGAGGTGATATAGCATCTTGCGAGTCCGGGGAGTCAGGTACCGCTACCAAAGGCCTGTCATTCAATATCCTTTCGATCTCGGTGAGTGTCGTTACAAGTACCTCTTCGGTCACAACCTCGCCGTTGAGAATGTTCCGTAATAATTCACGAGTCGATCGAATTAATCGTTCCCAAAGACCTCCGCGATGGCTAGCACATGGAGGATTGAATTTCCAGTCAACCTCTCTAGCCAACATAGACTTTGTGATCTTCGTCTGATCTAGCTGCTTCAGAAGATTGCGTAATTCTGCTTCAGCTCCGTGGAAATTCTGTCCATTATCGCTGTATATTACATTCGGCCATCCGCGTCTAGCTGAAAACCTCGAAAACGCGCACAAGAACGAATCGGTGTCCATGGAGTGGGAAACCTCTATGTGAACAGCCCGTGTAGTCAAGCAACTGAACAAACAGCCATATCTCTTTTCATGTACTCGGCCACGTTTCACTATCAGCGGTCCAAAATAGTCGATCCCCACTGCAGTGAACGCTGGTTGGTAGATCAGACATTGGTCCGTTATCACTGGTGCCATCAGCTGACTCAGTGGCTTCGCATGGTTAACGCGGCATTTGGCACATTTAAAAAGCAAGTGCCTTATGGATGAAAGCCCACCCAAGATCCAGTAGCGTCGTTGAAGATCGTATAACGTGTGCTGCGCACCAGAGTGTCCATTGATGTAGTGGTAGTGAAGTATAAGAAGGCGAGTGACAAAGTGGCGGCCGGGAAGTAAAATCGGATGTCTCGCGTCATATGGTACCGAGAGTTGATCCAACCTTCCGCCCACCCGAAGTATCCCATTAATGAGGAAGGGCTTGAGTCGTCTTAATCTGCATGATCTGGATTTTAAATTTCGAACTGGTATGTCGGGTTCGTTGTATGCAAGGAGGCGCATCTCCTCCGCAAAAGCTTCTGACTGCACCAACTTAACTATCTGAAGCGTAGCTTGTCGAATTTCAGCACTTTCTATTTTAGCTGGTTGGTCAGGTGCAGCGCGCCTCAAGTATTTGGCGACGAAATAAGATTTGAATCGCAACAAGGTAACGAAATATTTGCGCAGGGAAGTCCATGTCGGGCAAGCCTTAAATTTATTAATCCAGTGCTCCTCCAAGGTGACTAAGAAAACATGACCAACCTCAGGTCGTAACCATTCAAGCGGCAATTCACCCAGATTCTCCGGATACATAGGCCATGAGGAAGGGGGCTGAACGAGAAACTGTGGCCCATGTAACCATTGGTGTATTTCCTTGTTGAGCGACGTCGAGAGTCCACGTGAGGCTATATCAGCCGGGTTCTGCTTCGAATTTACGTAACGCCACTGACTGGGGTGAGAGTATTGTTGTATAGTGGTAATCCGGTTAGCAACATACGTCGGAAAACGCCCATTAACACTTCGAAGAAGCTTAAGAACTACCATCGAGTCTGTCCAGAACGTTGTGCTACAATGTAGTGCCATCTCCTCTCTGACTTTCGCTGACATGCGCACGTTCAGTACGGCAGCAGTGAGCTCCAACCTCGGTATCGACACCGTTCTAATGGGACTGACACGTGATTTACTAATAATCAGGGAACTACTAACCTTGCCTTCATCAACCTCGCAACGCAAGTATAGAGCAGCACCGTAACCAGCCTCAGACGCATCCGAAAAACAATGCAACTGCACAGAAGATACACTGCATCCGAATGGATTAATACAACGTTCAACGGACAAGTTGTTCAGACCATTGGCGTTTGATAACCATTTGCTCCAAGCTTGCTGATCCTCTGCGGGAAGAGGCTCATCCCAATCCAGCTTCCTTTTTACGAAGCTCTGTAACAATAGCTTTGCCGGAAGTAGCACGGGAGCAATGAGGCCGAGAGGATCATAAACGGAAGCTATAAACGAGAGGATGGCTCTTCGGGTCAACGTTTTATTAAAACCTTCCAGCAGAAAAGTTAGGTGGTCCTGGGTAACGTTCCAGTTTAAACCAAGCGCAGTTGTAACACAATCTTCCCCAGTCGAATATCTTATTCCAGGAACCTTCAGTTCGCAGTCAGGTAGATGCGCGATAACCTCCTTTCGATTGCTGATCCATTTCGTCAAATGAAATCCTCCGTCAGACAGAATACGGGTAAGATGTATAACGAGTTCAGTTGCTTCGGGAACAGAATCAACACTAAACAAACAATCATCGACATAAAAACAGTTTTCTGCTACTTCTTTAGCCTTTGTTTGAGATTCACAATCACTCTCAAGGATAGCTTGTCGTAATGCAAAGTTAGCACAGCTTGGTGACGAAGTAGCGCCAAACGGATGTACAGTCATGCGATATTCAATAGGTGGTGAACAAAGATTGCCATTCTTCCACCACAGGAACCTTAAACAATTCCGATCCTTAATAGGAACCTTGACCTGATGAAACATTGCTTCAATGTCGGACGCGACGGCGATCGGGTGAAACCTGAACCGTAAAAGCGTCCCCACTAAACTGTTTGACATATCGGGACCAGATAGAAGTTGTTGATTGAGAGAAGTACCTCGGTATGAAGCTTGACAATCGAAGACCACTCGCACTTTACCGGGCTTACGGGGATGCGATACCGAGTGGTGGGGTATGTACCAGGTTTCCCCCTTTATCTGCTGTTCCTGTACTGGAGCGAGTTCAGCATATCCTCTAAATATATATTCTTCCACTGCCTTGGTGTATGCTTGGCGCAGTGCGACATTCTTCAACAAACGTTTCTTCAACATGGCAAGCCTCATCAGTGCGAATTGTCGGTTATCTGGTAACCTCGGTCTCCCGGCTTGCCATGGTAGCGCAATCTCGTAGTGGGTACCAACCTTTCTTTTAGAAGCTTCCATTAGTCTTAATGCGCGTCCGTCGTTCACAGACATGGCTAATCGTGGACTATCTAGTCCATCAAATTCCCTTTCATACATTTGTTCTAGTAATTGATGAAGATCAGCGCTATCGCAGCGAAGTGAGTTGATCCTCCCTGTTCGATCAACTTTCAGTGATGTGGATTGATCTCTCATAATCTCGTGCTGTTTGTTCGGTCCCAGTACGATCCAGCCCAGTGGAGTTTTAACAGCATACGGATCATCAGGATCCCCGCGTCTCTGATCTAATGCCCAGTGTAGGTATGGGTTATCGCAACCAATCAAAAGTTCAACCCTTCCTTCCAGCTCCGGTAACTGTAGGTCGGAGAGGTGGGACCATCTGTCGAAATCGTTGTTCCTGTTTCTCGTTCCGAGTTTTTCAGGGAGACGACTGACTGACCTAATTGAATCTAATTGGACCGCCTCATCCCCATCTATAGATCGAACAGTTACACTAACCAACTGGGATTCCACTTGACATCGGCCAGCAACGGTGCTAATGTTAAGTGTCGTCACGGACCCTTGAACCCCGATAACTTGAAGTAATGTTGAATCAATCAGTGAAGTATCTGATCCATTATCTATTAAGGCTAACGTTCGAATGGTGCCAGCAGGCCCAGAAACAAGCACAGGTAACAAGCCAAGCGACACAACAGAGCGTTCGATGTGACTGAGAGCAAAACTGGATCCTTCAGTGGTTGGTGTTCCGAAGTTGCTTCGTTCAACGTGGAGTAGCGGGTGGTGCAGCAGCTTACAATTGTTCGACCCACAACACCTTCGTGATCGACAATTTAGTAAATCATGATTCGGTTTGAGACAGAGCTGACACAGTCTATGAGCGCGACAGAATTCAAGACGTTTGTTGAGGTTGAGATTTCGGAAATCATCGCACTGATCTAAGTAGTGGCGTTGTTCACAGGAAAGACATTTAGGGAAATTTCGTTCTGATGAAGCGGCAATGTTTAGGCAAGCGGCATATCCCCGAGAGTTTAAGCTTCTGCCTCTATCGGTGATTGCCGGTAGTCCGCAGGGACGTGCGGCAAAGGACAAATAAGTATCGACGACGTCTGCGGTTTCATCCACGAAATCTGTCAAGTCAATGAAGTTCGGTTCTCTTTCGGTGCGGATAACTCTGGCGGCATGCTCGGCCCACTTGAATTGCAGATGGTTAGGCAGCCTCCTGACGATAGAGCTGATTGTTCTGGACGCGTTCAAATCAGATTCATACCTCAACTGTTTCAACGTCAAGTAGCATGAACGCAGTTCCACAGCTAAACGAGACAGAGCTGTGAAATCATTGGGCCTGATGTTAGGGCCATCAGTTAAAGCATTAATGTGAGTCCTAGCAATCATGTGGGGCCGTCCGAAGCGTCTGCGCAAAATGTTCATTGCTTCTTCAAAACCTTCACCAGGGTCGAGTATTAAGCAACTTTCGATAGCTTCTTTGGCTTCGCCACAACAGTATTGTATCAGATATGAAAGCCTGATAGTTGGATCGGAAGTAGTTCTGGAAACATTGGCTTCGAAGCATCGCATAAACATCCAATAGCGGGCAGGATTCCCATCGAATGTTATCAGTTCACGTTTTGGAAGACAGGATGACGTGCTGGGTCCAAATTCACTGGATTTGCGTTCCGGACACAAGTTACCGTCAGATTGAAGGCCGGAGCAAAACGTTCCCGGCTGGGATCGAACGCCGGTACTGTCGGATGCCAACGGACCAACCAACTGAGCTACGGATGCGACGTGCGGACCCCTATAAACAGGCTTCACAAACGACGAGCAGATGGCAACTTCGGGAGAAAGCACACAATCGTCGGCCGGAATAAATCGCAATCGTTCATTAATAAGAGCATCCGACTCAAATTCAGGTTCGCAGTAGTCCTTAGCATCAACGGTATTCGCCTGCAACATGCGCATGCTCGTTAAAGCCGACTCCAACAGGCGAATACGGGATTCAGCTTTTCGAAGTTTCTCAGCATCAGTAACGTTAACATCACCAAAAGAATCACCAGAAACGGACATGATTGCTCTATTCAACTTATGTACCAACGTCACTAAGCCTAAACTAAGTACGTCGTACGAAAACTAAACTAAAACTACGAACAGATAAACCTAGACTTAACGCACGGTCTGGGCAGAAGAAGAAAACGTATTATCCTGTAACCGTGGTTCTATAAGGCATGATAAATACAGTACATGACTTACGAATAGGTTTCGCAATCGTAATGCAAGTGGGCGGAAACTGTCCAGCGTGGGGCGGATCGAGTATTTGGGCAGTGTCACAGTAACATAAAAATAAAATGACCTTGAAACCTCAAGGATGTGTCAGTGATGGAGTGTAAGAAATAAATATGCGATATGTGAACCGCTTGTAAAACACAGAAAAGCAGTGTAAATTTGCAAGATAATCAGGGAAAAGAGATACCGTGTCCTCAGGTAAGCAATCAAGTTTGGGGATACATCAAAGTTCCTTTTGGACTTTACACCAGACATGACGACATTCGAAAGACTCTTAGATTTTCATCTTAGGGATAAACGATACACAACACTTTGTTAAAGTGCAATGATTTAACCACTGATACTTTACGTTCCACGTTGGAACATTTTGATTTTAATTTTCTTTTGCATATCCATCCTGTGGGTCTTGTAAACTCATGCTTTTTATCCCATCATACACCATTGAACCATTGAACCATACTGGGGTAAAATATAGATCGCACGGTTACTACAAACTTATGACGCCGCGAGTGCATCAATTAGCATGCGGTTCTTTGAGATACCAACGCTGCTCCAGCAATAAGCGGCAACTATTGAGACACAACGATAAAACAATTCCACCGGGGGGGCAAATAAATATATACCTTCCACATGGCACACAAACACCATTTCTTTAAGTCTTGGTTGTTGCTGTATACGAATCGGTCGAAGGTGAAAGAGGAACCTGAGTGCAGCATCAAATAAGCAGTAATGGTTTAAACTAGGCGAAACTAATTTTTGCATTACAAAAGATTGATGGACCGATTTACCTCAGTTTGGACTGCCGAGGCACCGTGGGTTGTAGTATTCTAACTGCAAACTTTTAGCTTCAGAAATTACAAACGTTTAAGACAAACTGAGCAGCAGAAAGCGATTTCCAACATAATCCTCGCGCACGCCATATCAACAGTTCTGACTATATGCTAGGGTCAAATTAACAATCATATACATTACTCAGCTACGTTTGTTCGATATAGAAAGTTACTATTGAACATCCATTCGGCTTTTGCTGTCATCCAGTGAACGATAGAGAATAGGATAGCGAACCTGCCCAAGGCATTCTTTTACCTGGACAAATTGTTTTTTCTCAGGGAAATAATAAACGAGCATCTGCATCCTCTGCGAGATGTTATACGTTTCCTGAAACAGAAAGCTGGAAGGATGAAAAAGGAAACGGCTTTTTCTTTGCAAACCAAGTTGATTGTTCGGGCTTTCTTGCTGGTGCAGTGGTGGTGAATATGGTTAAGGAGAAATTTCGACCTATCCATCACGCAGCACAACGCAGGAAACAACACGAGTTGAGGTCGTTTAGGATGCTGTGTTCTCGCGTCAAGTACAAGGCAGCGGAGACACACAAACTTTATGACAAAAAGGAAGGGGATTCAGAATTATACGCGAGTGCGTAAATGCGGATAAAGCATTAAGTCTGATGTTTCACAATAGTGTTCGTATTGGCAACAAAACTGCATTACACAAGCGTCTTGCAAATTTCTAAAAGCACAAATTATTTGGAACAGCAAATAAACCATGCCGAATCGGATAACTGTATGAGCAGTTCAATAAATGCACCTAATGTAACTTCTGGTGATTTATAGCCGATCCCAATCATCATGCTACAAACACTCGGGAACACAAATGACAAAAGTAGCCAGTTCTTGAATGTAGGGCAGGATATAAACCACCTGGATGAGTCATATAGACAGGAGATATAAGAAAACATGGGATCTGTGTGCCGATGCATTGTCAAGGTGTAATCAGGTCCATCGTACTCCAATCATCCAACAAGGCATGGCTGCAGCTTCAAACGTTATTGTCAGCCAGTGGGTAGAATACCATTTGCTGGTGACTGTGCGTTGTTGTCCTAGCGGTACCGTAGCCTCGTAACTGGTCTTGACCGTGAACAAAGCCACCATCTGCTTATTCACACTGCGCTCACTCCAGAATTTTCAAGGTGGTGCCTCATAAAACGGACGTCCGATTAGATGCTTTTCACCGTAGTTCTCCCAAACCGCATTGGAAAGCCCACCGTCAAACGTAGCGATCATGGTACGCCACCAATTCGTTCCGGTCACGTTTTCGTCCCCACTGCGTCAATGGGATACCCTGAGAGTGTAAAAATCTATCTTTACGAGGTCTTCATATTGAATGATGTGTATTGGTTTCGATGATATCCAAGTAGCTTTCACCAGCCACAATACCGTCACTTGCACAACCTGATCCAGCATAGCTTGTGCAGCAGCAAGTAACTCAGCGATGGTGGCTCCAGCTAGTCGACTACAACGTGCCCTATAAGTCACGGACCGTCTGTCACGCTTGAATTCCGCTAACCACTGAAGCACGACGGTATCTAAAGATCTGATGTCATCAAACGAAGCATGAAATGGCTGAACATACTGGCGCTGTTTTAAACTGCATTCGTAGGAATGGAAATTCATCGCCCAATGCTGCTGTCGACTGGTTTCCACAATTCCTGTCGGGGTATAGTTAAGCTAATGACTTGTGAGCTGCGATAAACTGCTGATTAAGGGTTCTGTGAGCAGGAATCGCTTGACAATTTTCAGAATTGGTTATATCTTACATTTCACTAGCCCGGTCATCTGTACTTAATGTGTATACTGAGTATACAGAAGCTTATTGTTCTGCACTCGTATGTGAAAGTTTCATTGAACAAAGCACCGCAAATTGTCCTTTATATCATCGTCGAAGCAGCGCCCTGATTCGGTTTAGTCTGGTTGGTCTAACACCCTGATTTTACTCTTATCTTTGCTACCGACTGTTGTGTTTCGCTATATTAGATTTGTTATAATGCTCTTGATTTGTTCACCTGGGATAGCGTTGCTCCTCAAAAGTCCTTCTCTGAAGGTGTAGTGTACCGGAAAACAAGCGCTTTCAGTATTTTGTAAAATTGGATTTTACGGTTGTTTTAACCTTCGAAACGTCCATTTGTTTTACTGACTGCACGTCCGTTGTGCCAAACCGTTTCCCGCTCTGTCTGATTCGCTTCCAATTCTTGTAGCTTGCACAATACACGTTGGGTTTAGTTGCCACCAACTTCTAAACTGTCGTATTTGACACGTCTTACGTGTCATTGCTTACCGACTAGTATCCCAGGCTCAGCCCAACAAAGGTAAACACAGGCGAACTCTCCGAAAAACCAGGCATTCCATCATTATTTGAAACGTATATGACATAGAAGCATTTACAAAATGAAAATAACACAGACAACACACTCATTACATAGTCGAGCAAGCCGCAATTATCAAGGAATTTCTGCTCTGCGGATAGAGTCCCATTAACCATTTTCAAAAATAATGGTTAAGCAAACACAAGTCACAAGTGAAACCAATACCTGAATCAAAATATAATTGAGCAAGTTCATTCTGCATTATACACCGTTCTTCCAATAGTTTTGAAGAGACAGCCGTTACCGCAATCAAACAGGACGGAAGGAAGTAACAGTTTGGAGATTTGCATCAAACGCTGGAAAGTTTACTACTACCATACCGTCTTACACTTAACACTATAACGGATCATGCACCGGGTAAACGGCCGACGAGGTGACGTATAATATAGGTGTTAAATCTGATAATAGCCACATTTCAAAGAACGGTCGTTGATGTGTAAAACGACATGGAGACGAAGGATCGCTTGGTTGAGTCAGAGGCAGATTGCATCGGGAACTGTGGCAAAGGAATAAAAATTGTGTCCGAGTAGTAGCAAGATCAAAAAGTGGTAGTGTGGCGGAGCTAGAGCTGGAGGACAGACACATATTTCGACGTCTTTTGAAATGTGCGTGAAGACAGCACTTGAATCCAGCGAAGGACGATGGAAACTGTCCATTGTCTAGACCCTTAGGAAAGTACCCGGAAAGATTCAATATCTCAGAATATGCATGGAACCGACTGGGATTCCATGATTTCAGTAAGATTGCATACAAATCTGTTTTGGTAGGGTTTTATTGTTGCAACGTTTCGCCCTTGACACAAGTTGACCTAACTTGAAGGTTGCAAGACATAACATGAACCATTGGATAATAGTGTTACAGGTCAATAGGTCAAGTGGTCATGCCAGTGAAACGAGCAACGAGCGTTTCTCATTTTAACACGTCACCGGTCATTCGCATGTGAGGCATTCCTGCTGCTGATTCACATTCCGACCTGAGTTCGTCCGCCGACACCTTTTCTGACTGACCGGGTAAACACAGCCCGTCACGCGTTCGATAAATCCACCGCCTTTCTGTTCTGTTCACACAGTTGTTAGTCTTGGTAATCTCGATCGCCTCAGCAATCAACCTTTGGCCTGTTGCTGGTAATCCCCTCCAAAGTATCTCCACATTGTCCCAAACAATCGCGTATCCTTCCTCTAGCGCATATACGGCCACCGCCGAATATTTTAATGGGGTCCTGTATTCAGGCTCATTTCTCGGTGCACGCGAAACGTTACCCTTGTGTTCTGATTCCCTCGTGCGTAACTCTCTCGCTGTTTGACCTATATACACGTGTTCATAGTCTTTGCAATGGATTTTATAAACACAATTTGTCGTCCTGTCTCTTGAAAGTGGATACTTCAAACGCAAATGTGGTAAATGGAGCGTTTGACCCTTTAGAAAAATGACTCTTATTTTCTCCTTGCTTAGTACTCGTTTGATTGCTTCTGAGGTTCTCCTATTATAGGGGATTTTTGCTGTCACAATCCACTCCGTTGTGCGTCCCGGAAGTGAATTTAAAGCTCTCTGCATTTGGCGTTTCCGTCACCATCTCCTTACGAGCGGTCCTCCTGTCTTTCTCCTCTGCACACAGAATCTGGGCTCTGTGAAACAGAGAGGATGCGATAGCGGCATAAACTTGTTTTGGATAACCCGAAATGTAATCAAGCACTCCATCCGTATCTGTCGGCATGAGATATATCATTGTCTTTAGCCTTCCACCGTTCCTGTGAACCAGGCAATCGAGGAATGGCAGTGTGCCACTGCAAGCTGCTATTTCTATAGTAAAGTTTAAGTTTCGATTAATGGATTGTTTTTCCGAGCTTGATTAAGAAATCGCATAAGTTTCACCACCATGTGAGGTGGCATCTTCAATGTAGTAATAGGCAGTGTGTATAAATCGTTTTTGGACACATAATTCAGGCGATGGATAAGAACTGTTTGCGGAATCCTTGGGAGA